TATCCCTGTTGTATGACAGGTATTGAAATCACCTCTGTTACTGCCCCCCATTATTTCTGCACTTAGCAGCAATTTGCCTACATATTTAGTCTTCAATCTCCACATTTGGAGGTTTACAGCATACTCTTAGAAGTATAATACTGCCTTTTTCAATCCTCAGTTCAACCTATTTAGCTTTTGATACTTCTTTGAGCAGATCATTGCACCTCATTGCTGTGTAATTTTTAAAAACATGGATTACTTGAGAATTTGTTTTACTACATTACAAGAGATAACATTCATGCCAATATTAATTTCTAATCTTTTTTTGTTTATGTAGGTAGAATTGGCTGAAGAACATTCTGATTTTGTCATTGGATTTATATCTAGCTCAAATGTCAGCAACAGAGTAGAGTTTATACACATGACCCCAGGAGTCCAGATGCAGATTGCAGGTAAGGGTGATACTTCACATGACATTTTAGTTTTAATACTGTACATTATATTGCAGTGGTAGAAGGCAAAGAGCTTTTGCTGGTCACTGGACCTTCATGTTTGAGTGTAGTGGGAGTAGATTATGGGAAGTTTCAACCAATAACAAACTCTTACATGCTTGTAATTGCTTAACTGGGAAGAACTTTTTTTTTTGTAGAGAAGTCAGCCCTGATTTTTATATGCTTAGCAGAAATGCACTGCAAAGACAAATATGTAATCTCATCCTGCATACCATCTCCTATGTGGATTAGGATTTTTGCTTGCTTCAGCTCCTGAGAGAGAACAGTTGAACCCTGAGCTGCTCCTATTGACTAGTGTCTGATGTTGACCACTCTGGGTTCATCTCAATGTTCGTGAAATAGTGATCACTGTGAAACCATCAAAAGCTTATGTAACAATTAGAATTATTAACACTGGACAAGCTGGCATTTGTCTTATTGAGAGTTCAATGTTATACAGCATTCTACAGTAATGTGTTGTTCTTTCCAACTACTCAGTGGCCAGAGAAGTAGTAGCCCTAAATTCCATAGACCCTATTTCCACATCCTTTCATCTTCTTTTCCTTTATCCAGTTAGTTTAACCAAATAATTGTTGGCATGACTAATCAACAACTTTGATAATACAACCAAAGCATTGCAACCTGTTTGCATTTTAATATTCTCCTTTTCTGTCATAATTTAAGGGTTTGATTGCTTACTTGTACACATTTGAATATTTGCAAGTGCATTTATCATACCTGTCTTGTCCCTTCATAATTTTAATAATGTCTTTGAATTATCAATAAAATCTCAATTGTTCAGTTTTCTTCACATTTTGACATCCTTGTAACAGAGACTATTCTGGTGAATCTGTGCCTGTTTTTTTTTTCCCCCAGTTATTCTCAAGTTGTGGGCATCACTAGCATTTATAGCCTTTACAAGTAGTTCTTGATGGGTGGTGGTGGGTCATATTGTCACTATGCAGTTGGGTAGCAGATTGCAGATTTTTCACCATTGTATAGCCATGTTGGGATAGTGTGTGACTTGGAGATGTTGGTGTTTCCATGCTTCTATTTCCCTTGTCCTCTTAAGAATAGATAGTCTCCAGTTTGAATGGCGTTGCCAAAGAAGCCTTGGTGTGTCATGCTGTAGCGTTTCCAAGTAGACACAGGTGGTGGGTGCATAGGAACATGGCCACCTGCAAGCCACACACCAATTCAACTTGATACTAACTGTTCTTTCACTGTCGCTGAATGAAAATTCTGGAATTCCTTTCCTAACAGAACTCCATGTACCTACACCACATGAAATGTAAAAGTTCAAGAAGGTGTCCCATTGATGGTTAAGCTGGGTCAAAGAGGTAGAATTCAATGTGCATCTTAAATAAGCAAAAGGGTTCAGACAGCAATTGCAGATTTTAGGCAGCTGGAGGAGCAGCTGCCAGTAGTGATCATCTAGAATTGCATTTCTTTGTCAAATATTGACTATATAATTTGCATGCAGGGGTGACAGAGACAGCCTGCGCGTGTGAGCAGGGTAACAGAGAGAGAAAGAGAGTGAGTGTGTATAGTGTGGTGGGGTCAGCTGTAGTGCAACATGAACCCAAGATCCTGATTGAGGCTGTCCTCATGGCACTGAACTTAGCTATCAGCCTCTGCTCCAGTGACTCTGCGTTGTTGTGTATCCTGAAGTCCGCCTTGGAGGATGTTTACCAGAAGATCTGAGGCCGAATGTCTTTTACCGCAGAAGTGATTCCCCCACTGGGGTAGAACATCCCTGTCTGGTGATTGTTGTGCGGTGTCCATTCATCCGTTGTTGTGGCGCCTCCTTGGTTTCACCAATATACCATGCCTCAGGCCATCCTTGCCTGCAGTGTATGAGATAGATAACGTTGGCTGGGTCGCATGGAGGCGTTCCCACGTGTCATGGCAATATTCATTGTCAATGATCTGACATGTCTTGCAGAGGTTGTCATGACAGGGTTGTATGGTGTTGTGGTCGATGTTCTCCTGAAGGCTGGGTAGTTTCTGCAAACAACAGTCTGTTTAAGGTTTGGCAGTCATTAGACGAGAAGTTGAAGCATAGGGAAGATCTTGACAAGTTGCTTGTTGTCATCGATAATGTGTTGAAGGCTGTGCAGAACGTGGTATAGTTTCTCTGCTCCTGGGAAGTACTGGACGTGTAGGGCTTGTCTGTAGGGGGTGGCTTTTTAACATGTTTAGGTGGAAGCTAGAGAAGTGCAGCATAATGAGGTTATCTGTGGGCTTGTGGTAGAGTGATGTACTGAGGTGTCCGTCCTTGATGGAGATGCATGTGTCCAAGAATGAGATTGATTCTAAAGAGTAGTCCATGTGAAGTCTGACGGTGAGATGAAACTTCTTGATATCACTATGTAGTTGTTTCAGTGATTCCTTGCCATGAGTCCAAAGGAAGAAAATGTTGTCAGTGTATCTGGTGTATAGTGTTGGTTGGAGGTCCTGTGCAGCAAAGAAGTCTTGTTTGAACTTGTGCATGAAAATATCAGCATATTAGGGTGCACATCTAGTTACCATGGCTGTTTGGTGTGCGTACCCAGCCTTCAGGACAACATCGACCACAACACCACACAACCCTGCCATGACAACCTCTGCAAAACATGTCAGATCATCGACATGAATACTACCATGACACATGGGAACACCACCCACCATGTGTTTGGCAGATACCCATGTGACTCGGCCAATGTTGTCTATCTCGTACGCTGCAGGCAAGGATGCCCCAAGGCATGGTATATTGGTGAGACCATGCAGACACTATGACAACGGATGAATGCGCACCACGCAACAATTGCTAGACAGGAACGTTCCCTCCCAGTGGACGAAAACTTAAGCAGTGAAAGACATTCGGCCTCTGATCTTTAGGTAAACGTCCTCCAAGGCGGACTTCGGGATACACAACAACAGAATCGCCAAGCAGAGACTGATGACCAAGTTAGATACCCATGAGAACGGCCTCAACCAGGATCTTGGGTTCGTATCACACTACAGATGACCCCACCACACTATACGCACGCCTACACACAAGCACACCCTCACTTTCTGTTCAAAATGTGGCATTTTATAAATTCCTACTTCAGAAATAAAACCAGCCTGACTCCAAGTTAAAACATAGATTCTAAACAAGGCCTCACATCTAAAATGCATTGTCTGACCTGAGTCACCTCTGCTATACTGATAAAACCTTTACTTATCTTGGGGCAGTGACTTGAAAGAAATTCTGGAATTTGCATATTAGTCAGTTGAAACCTGTATGTCCTTTTTAACTGATTAAAGATTTAACAGCATCTTAGGTTTGCTCAACGCATTTGCATCAGTTCTATGACCCTTTGATCTTTTGCTTATAAATTCTGTCTGATGCCACCTCTCTCATAACACCTGGAGAAGGAGCGAGACTCTGAAAACTGGCGTTTTCAACTCAACCTGTTGGATTATAACCTGGTCACTGGCACCTCCACATCATGCCTGCCAAGATGTTAGATATAGGGACGCAAGTGCTTGTATTATATGTAGTGCTTTAAGTGCTATACAATTTTTTTTTAGTTTATAGAGGAGTGTTTGGAGATGAATGGGATTATACTTTTACTATGTGATTAAAAATCTTTGATCTTGAATTAGAAGCAGATTATGCTGGATCATTCTATTTTATGTTCATTTTTTCTAATAAACTTCTGCTTTATTGTTAAAAGCAAAGCCTGCAGCAGTGTGCGCTTTCATTTCAGGGATAGACCACATAAAACCAGAACAAATAAAAATATGATCAACTATGAAGTCAAGTTCTTGTCTGAGATCAGATGTGTCCAGTAATAATGTCAGTTGCAATCATAACACTTGAAAATGCGCCATTAAGTAGCTCTTCAGCACTGACCCATCTGATATACTTCCTAAATCAAAATAAGTACCTTCATAGATTAGCCAGTAAGTTGAAACAAAGTTGTGCCATTTTTAAAAATAATTCTATACAATGCAAAAGCATATTTCTAAAATGTCTGATTGACTCAGCCTTAGTAATAATGATTTTGAGTTAATATTTACATGTCAACCAAATAGAGAAAGGGACATTTGGAACCATATCTTGGGTGTATTCAAATCAATCTAATTCTGCCTCATGTTTCTTCTTAGCGGATAATCTGGGCCAACAATACCTGAGTCCTGAAGAAGTGATTCACAAGAAGGCCTCTGACATCATCATTGTCGGCAGAGGGATCTTGTCTGCAAAGGATTGTGTGGAAGCTGCAAAAACGTACAAAAAGGCAGGATGGGCAGCTTACACGAGTAGGTTGTCATCTGATAACAACTGAAAGTTTGAGAAGGCTCTAGAGGTGCCTAATAGCAAGCAGTTGAAGTCAGTTGATTGTTATTTTACCTTTATTTTGTAATGAGGTACAATTATTGAATGTACTTTTAAATAAAACTAATTTAAATAGTATTTGAAAGGTTAACTTTTCATTACAATTGCAGATTGAAAAATGATGTTTTGTTGCAACCAAGCTGATAAGTTAAACATATATAATCATAGAATGATGCAATAATCATAGGATGATACAACATGGAAGGAAGATTTTGACCCCTTTTGACTGTACCATTTTTTCAGTAAAGATATCTAATCTGTGATATCCCAAACTCATGCAAATCTTGCCTTCAAGTATTTATTCAATCCCTTTTTAATCTGCTTCTGGCATCCTTTTGGGTCAAACATTTCCAAGCAAAATATTCATATCACCTTTTATCAGTCACCTTAAATCTGTGTCCCTACTTCTTGATCTGATGAAGAGTCACTATCCTCAAGATGTTAAATCTGTTTTTCTTTCCAACGGTGCTGCCAGACCGCTAAGTTTCTTGTTTCAGATCTCCAGCATCCACAGTTTTGTTTCATTTTGGTGTTGCATTGGATGTAAAATTTACTTTAATATATTAGATACTACAAGACGTGTCTCAAATTGCTGATCTAATCAAAACTTACATATTTTTGATTAACACATTCCAATGTGTTATGACATCCCTGAGCCAGAAGGCCCAGATTCAAGCACTACGTGCTCCAAAGGTAGGGACTCAGGCCTGCACTACAAAAGCCTTCAGCTCTTTTAATCACTGTTCAGAAGGTTTTGACACTCCTCAGGAGCAAGTGGGATTTGAACCCCAACTTTCTGGCCTACCACAAGAGCCTCCCTTTTCCCTCAAACAAGCTCCATGCTCCCACTGTATGCCAGAGCTGCTAAACTACAGGATAATTATCAGTGCTGCTAAAATCCATGATTTTAAGCAATAGCTTTGTTTGTCTTAACTTTCTAAATGGTAAGGATGAGAAATACTAAGGGAGATGTACCAATACTTTGTGTAAACATACAGAAGATGGAGCAAGCAAACAAAACTGTGCACCATAACTAATGCTGAATATAGCAATTTTAAATGGCTTTTTCTTTTCACTGAGAAAGTGAAAAGCATTGCAGAGTTCAGACATGCATATGATATCAGAGGTAATTCAAACAATATTAACAAAGTATTCTGTACTAATTCAGCATCTCAGCAAAATACAATTCATTTCTTAAAATGTCGACCTTTGACCCACATCTTCCAAATTGAGGTGTGTCAATTCTCCTCTTTCATGCACACGTTCATTCTTGGTTTCAGGAGAAATTCCTGTTGCTTTGTTTAAGATGGATTGTTCTTCATTGCCGATGTTTTCTTTTACATGTTCGGAAGGGCGCTTCCACTCTGGATGTTTGGCAATCCACAATATACAGCCTCCAAAGAGGAGAATGAATATTCCGAGAGTATTGACTAATATTGCCTCAGGTGGTGACTGGGAATATGGGAGTGTACTATTACTACCTGACCGTCTGGAAAATGAAAGTATAGTGATAATAATAACAGTTATTTTCCACTCAAAAAAAAAATCTCTATTCTAGACATATTTGGAAATATCAAAATTCAGGATTCAGAACCTTTAAAAGCATAAAGTTATATTTCCATGTTTATAAATTGAGTCAAGCAGCCATCAAAACAATGAGATACTTTTCCTCTAGGACAGGAAAAAAATTATATTTATGAAACACCGAGGTTACAAGTGTTTCAAAAGGCAGAATTCAAATCATTTCTTAAAAAAAAATAACATGGACGTATGACCATGACACCAAATATACCTGAATTTTGCTTTGTGAAGAACATGAGGGGCCTTTTCTGACTCAAATGACCAGCAAGTGATGTTCAGAATTCTAAATATATACTCATCCTACTTCTCATAACCACCACACAAAGGAATGTCAATGGACATAGAAAGGTGAAACTAAAAACAAAATCTATGTTGCAACAAATTCCAGGAAACTACGTGGAATGTTCTGCATAGGCAGAGCAAAACAATTCCTTTTCTCCATAAATGAGAACAGGTTTGAAGGGGGATTGGGACTTACTGCAAATTAAGAAATGGGCAGTTAAGTTTTGAATGATCTTTAGCCATGAAGAGAGGAGAATGCGAAAGACCAGAAATACTCTGGGACAGCTGTATCCAGAGATAACAAAGGCATGAATGAGGGTTTTAGCAACAGTTTACTGTCTTTGATGTTTCCGAGGTGAAAACAGACAGTCTTAATGGTACAAATAGGAAATCAGAAGATCAGTTCAGAATCAAATGCACCATCAAACATGTATCAGACTGGTTTTAATCTTGAACTGGTACCACAGAGACAGGTGGATCCAGTAGCTAAGGAACAGAATTTTGAGTAGAGACAAAACGATTTCAGTCTTCCCAATATTTATTGGAGAAAATTTCTACTCATCTATTACCAGATGCTGTGTAATCAATCTGATAATTTAACAAGAGTAGAGGATTAGAAAGAGGTCATGGTGATGTACAGCAAAGTTTCATAAGTGTACATGTGAAAAACTAATGCTGTACCTTTGGATGAAAACAAAGCTGAACTATACAGATTTTCAAAACTTTGAATATAAAACTTGTTTTGTACATTTTAGCCTTTAACAAAACCTAATGAATATAAAAGGTAATTTCAAATGACCCCATGCTAACACCCAGAAGCATGCTTGAAGCGAGCATGAATTAAAGACATTAGGCTTCTGATATCTGCGGATCAAAACCCTGAAGTATATACAAACTATTTTTACTTTTAATTTAAAAAATGTTGTTTTTAAAAGGACGACTACAGAAAAAAAAACACCCGATTTGAATTTGTTCACTGAAAAAGTCATGTTTGAAAGGATATTTCACACGCAAATGGTCAGGGAAACTTAAACAGGGAAAGACTTAACAAGACAAGATAATGAGAGGGTTAACTATCTTCCCCTCTTTAAAGTCAACCCCAGCACATGTCAGTTTTACTCTCCAGGAATACAAAAAGACAGGGCTTGGAAAGTCACTAGTCCGCTGCAAGAGTTAAAAGTAAGACTGAATGATTCCGTCTGAACTAGACTTGATTTGAGCTTTAGTGCCCTGTGAAGGTCACAGCTGAAGAACCACCTCCTCGATAGCATGTTAAGGGTAATAGTTTGTCTCACTGAAGCCTGCAAATCAGTTAAGGAGAAGGACAACATGATTGAGGAATATAATATTTGAGAGGTATGGACAGCATGAATAGAAAATAACTGTTGCCCTAGTTGAGGGGATGATATTTATTCATTCACGGGATGAGGGTGTGACTGGCCAGGCAGCAGGTGTTGCCCATCCGTAATTGCCCAGAGGGCAGTTAAGAGTCAACCACATTTGCTGTGGGTCTGGAGTCACATGGAGGCTGGACCAGGTAAGGATGGCAGTTTCCTTCCCTAAAGGACATGAGCGAACCAGTTGGGTTTTTCCCGACAATCGGCAATGGATTCACAGTCATCATTAGATTCTTAATTCCAGATATTTATTGAATTCAAGTTTACCATCTGCTGTGGCAGGATTCAAACCTGGGTCCCCAGAACATTATCTGGGTTTCTAGATTAACAGACCAGTGATAACACCACTAGGCCAATGCCTCCCCACAAATGATAACAAGGGGGCATAATTTTAAGATGAAAGGCAGGCAGTTTAGAGTGGATTTGAAAAAAGTTTTTTCATCTACATATGATGGTGGGAATCTGCAATGCAATGTCTGGGAGAACACTTCCGTTGGGAAATCACAAGTGCTTGGACAAACACTTGAAATCTCACAACAGTCAAGTAGATTTAGAGTAATTTCATCAATACAGACTCAGAGGGCCTCATCTATTCTGTATGATTCAACAACAAAAGAAAGACTCCCTAATTCTAAATCCTCAAATTCAGTCCTAGAAGTCAGAAGGCATCAGAACAACAAAATTTCAACTAAATTGCAAAACTAAGGATTGTGAAGCTGACTTCACCTACCAACAATCAACATTATTGATAACCTCCACACTAACAGCCACAATATTCAATTATCTGCTTTTCATAAACAATTCAGAGTCTGATCCATATATCTTTTTGATTTAAAATTTCTTCTTTTTGGACTCATCTCATTTCTAATCTGTGTTTGTGTGTGTTGCCTTACTAATTCTCATGTTTAGTAATGAATAAACTTACTCATTTTGTTAATTCAAGAGAGACTAGTTAAATTGGCTTTAGTTAAATTTAGTTAAAATTCACATTAATTTGGGACTAGGTGAGGGAAGGAATCTTTTTAAATGAATCTTGTTGTATCCAACTGAAGGGATGGATGAATAAAAGGAGGAGGGCCAGTTTATCCCTCCTCACCTGGGATCCTACAGTTGAGGTACTCCCATCTGGAACTATAACTAAAGTAGGGAATTTTGCTCAGGGTTTGGTTGTAACAGGCTATAAATATTCAACAGTTTCATTTTCATATCACAGAATCTCTATAGTATGGAAACAGGCCCTTTGGCCCAGCAAGTCCACACCAACCCTCAGAGCGTCCCACCCAGACCCATCCCCCTATAACCCACCTAATCTATACATCCCTGAACACTCTGGGCAATTTAGCATAGCCAATCCACCTAGCCTGCACATCTTCCGACTATGGGAGGAAACCGGAGCACCCAGAAGGGACCCACGCAGACATGGGGAGAATCTGCAAACTCCACACAGACAGTTGCCCGAGTGTGGAATCGAACCAGAGTCCCTGGCACTGCGAGGCAGCAGTGCTAACCATTAAGTCACCGTGCCATATGTGGCTGGATGTTGAAAAGACAGAGGTGCTACAGTAAACAAGATCATCCATATTGTTGCAATTCACTGATATCATTCCAATGTATAATCAGTTCTAGTAGATTATGCAAGAGATTATGTGATTGATATAAAACAAGGCAGTTTATGCTGATTGGTGTAAAATGCTGATTGTATGATTTTACGCTAAATATCAGTCATTTGCTACATTCAGAAGTTGAGAAATTATGTTTAGAGATGGAAACGAGTCAAAAGGAGATGGGTGATATGCCAGTAAAACAAATTTTCACTTCATTGGTCATACAGTCAGAGTCATACAGCACGGAAACAGACCCTTCAGTCCAATTCGTCCATATCAACCAAGTTTCCCAAATTAAACTAGTTCAACTTTCCTGCATTTGGCCCACATCCCTCTAAAGCATGAACAAAAACAGAAGTTCTGAGGAAGGGTCACTGGACCCGAAACTTTTTCTTCACGAATGCTGCCAGACCTGCTAAGCTTTACCAGCAACTTCTGTTTTTGTTCCCGATTTACAGCATCTGCAGTTCTTTCAGGGTTTTTTTTCCCCCCTCTAAATCATTCCTATTCAGTGCACCTATCCAAATGTCTTTTAAATGTTGTAACTATACCTGCCTCTACCACTTCCTCTGGCAGTTCATTCCTCTTACAAACCGGCCACTGTGTGAAAAAGTTGCCCCTCAGGTCTTTTTTAAATCTTTCTCCTCTCACCTATTGTGAAGGAATTTCTATCATTTATATACATAGAATTATTGTACCTTTGTCTAGATCATTAATTTTATAGCTTATACTTACAAAGAGAAAATAAGTTTTTCAGTTATTCCCATTTCAGCTGCAGTAATTGACATTCCAAAGATGAGGAGGCCAGTAAAAATGTGGATTGACATGTAGAAAGTCTTGATGAACATAGGAGTGAAGGGCATCAGGAAAATGCATATTCCTATTACTATCTGTAAGACAGAAGTAGTTATTCACTATTATAGCACAATGTTTTCACAACCAGCAATTCCTCAGATAAAGAGGCAGCTTTCTGCAGGAATACATCCACATGGAGAAGTATAAGAAGTAAACCAGAACAGTTTGAATGATTTAGAATTCTTATCTAATGGAAGAATATTATTTACTGTCCATTCAGCTTTAATGTTTTTACAAAATCAAGTGTTTGATTGAATTTTAATGACACATTAAATTCATTTAATGACCTCTGATTAAATGCAGTGGGAATAGGCAATAATCTGAATTTAAAAGGACAAAAAGAGTACGGACAGAAATATTTCTAGTCAACAGTGGTGGCAGAGAAGTACTAGTGGATGGGTATTGCAGGCTTCTGAATAAAAATCAAAAGCCTAGAGCTCAAGAATAACTAAGAAAGCATGAAAAATGTAATGACAATGGATGCAAATGTCAGACATCCAAAAGTACTAGAGATGTAATGACTGCTTTCTAACAGGGGAACATTAAATCAGGTTAGGATGTTGTTTGAGGATTAACCCAGGAGAAAGGCTGATTGATGGAGCATCTGAGTGTTACAGACAAAGGATAAGAAAGGACAGCATGATGAACTGCAGCTAAGTTGATGCCATAAGTGGGTTGCAAAGGTAGACTGAAGTAATTTTACAAGAGGTGGATGCATTCGGAGATTTTGGAAAAAAGGGGTAGGTTGGACACAGGCTTTGAGTTAATAGCAATGTCTGGAGAATAATTTGGAATAGTGTGCTGATCAGAGTTTTGGAAAGGTAGAAAAAGAAGTATTAGATGAAGAGGAAAGGTTTGAGAACATTTGCACGTGAGAACAAGAGGAAAGAGTAGAATAAATGTATTGAGTCTAAGGATGATAATGAGAGACACTAGATTTCATGAAAGAAAATGTTTCAGTGACTTTAGGAGAGAAACTGAACAATTTATGAAGCAGAGAGTTGAGGAGATAACAGTTGTATCAATTCAATTTTAAAGACAGTGGTCTAGTGCCAGAGAGGAGAGAGATTTTGGGTGGGAGGTTCAGTGGAGTAGATGCAAATGGACTTCCAGGAATTAAAAGTTTGAACCAGGCTTCAGAATAAGCAATTGGATTTGGACCAGTCGGTTGACGGGCAACAGAAAGGGGACTATTGGAATTGCAGTGGCAAGAGGACTAATGCTATAATCGGAGACAGGACAGCAGATTTCTGCTCCTTGGAAGATTTGCCACTCTCCTGAGATGGCACCTCAGAAATCAAAGCATACAACAGTACAGCACAGTAGCAGGCCCTTCAGCCCACCATGATGCCATTCTAAACTAATCCCATCAGTCTGTACATGGTCCATATCCCTCTATTACATGCCTGTTCATGTGTCTGTCTAATTGCCTCTTAAACGTTGATATCACATCTGCTTCTATACCTCCCCGACACGGTGTTCCAGGAACCTACCATCCTGTGCATATAAAAACTTGCCTCGAACATCTCCTTTAATTTCTTCCCCCTCACCTTAAACTTATGCTGCTTACTATTTCAGGAGGCAGCAGACGGCGGTGAGAGCAGGGCTGGTGAGGGGGCAGCAGTCAGTGGTAACAGGAATATAAATGGAAAGTTGGCCTTTATTTCAAAGGGAAGGGAGTATAAAAGTAGGGAGGTTTTCCTAAAACTATACAAAGCACTAATCAGACCGTAGCTGAATACTGCGAACAATTTTGGTGCCCTTATCCAAGGAAAGATAAACAAGCACTGAAGGCTCATTCGGTTGACACCAAGTACGGAAAGATTGCCTTATGAGAAGAGATTGACTGGATTGGGCCTGTACTCATTGGAGTATAGAAGAATGAGAGGCGACCTATTTGAAACATACACGATTCCTAGTGGGCTTGACAGGTTAGATGCAGAAAGTCCCAAAAGGGGAAAGAATCTCTCAGGATAACCAGTTTGCACATTTAAAACCAAAATGAGGAGGAATTTCTCTTCTCAGGGTTGGTGAAACTTTGGAATTCTTTACCTCAGAGGGTTGTTGAGGCTGGCTCATTAAATATATTCAAGGCAGGGATAGATTTTTAGATTATAAGGAAATCAAAGGTTGTGGGGAAAAGGCAGGAAAATAAGAGTTGAGGATTATCAGATCAGCCATGATCTCATTGAATGGCAGAGCAGATTCAATGGGCTGAGTGGTCTATTTTTGTTCCAACATCTTATGGCCTTATGGTCTAATCACATATTTTAAAATCAAGCTAGAATCTACAACACATTGTGGTATGAGGAAAATAACCATTACTACTACATTCCATTTCCTATCTTTTAATTAATTATGCACCCATTCCGTTACTGACCCTTGAGACAACATTAACTATACTAACGCCAACTTCATTGAAGAATCCAATCAATTTTTTTGGGCACATCAATGTCACTTATTATACCTTAATTTTACAAGTAAAAGTAAATTTATGATGTGTATTAACCCATGTTTTTCCAAGTAAAAATAAATTAAGATGTTTAACAACCATCCATCTGGAATCACTATGATAACTAAGTTCATTCACCGTGGTCAGTATCTCTGCTATTTTCACCTCTACTTCTGTCACAATCTAGCATGCAACCCCTTCAACTTTTGCACTATGAGCATTGTCAAGTTTTCAGTGCTGCTTTAGCTATTTTGAGAATCAATTTCTCAGGCCCATCTCCTTTATATTGAAATTATTAAGCCCATTTGCAAGTACTAATTTAATACCACAGCCCTGTCCTCTACTGTTAGAGACTTTGGAATGTGGAGAGCTCATTCAAACATATTAGTGATGGGAGAGTTGAGATCAAAGACCTCACTGGGTAGGTCAGAAGGGTTGTAGACGGGATGTGGTGCAGGGAAAGAGGGAAGAGCATGTTCAATTGAAGAAGGCAGTGGCATGCAGTTCTAAGATCCAACAGTCCATCTTACCAACAGCTGCCATGTATTTCCCATTTAAAACCAAAATGAGGAGGAATTTCTTCGAGATCCCAGCAGTTCAGAGTGAAGTTCAAAATAGTGCATAAAAATAAGGCATGCAGCCCAGTTGTAATAGTTTAAGTGCTGACCCAGCTCTTGGAGCATACCTGCAATTGGACCCACCATGCCTATGTTAGAATTGGCAATGGACAGTTTGGGTCCAGAATTCAGAATTTTAATGTCCTAGCAGGTTCAAAATCCAGGCACTTTGAGGTTGACATTCCCCCCCCACCAATTTTTCTCTTAGAGAATCACAGCCAAGACAATATCAATTTAAAATGGTCAGAAAGAGTGAGGAAAGAGGTTAAAGGAATTTTGTTTATAGCAGGTTGATGGATCATATGCCAATTTGTAATGAGGAGAAACTACGGTTGAGGAGCAAAAATTGGATAAAATATTTGTGAAGCTGGGGAGAGTTAAGGTAATTTAGAATACATAAATATCCATCTGGGAAAAACTTGACATTGATACAATAAGCTAATATGCCTTCTGCTGTAATTGTTATTGTGATAAACTTAATTTATTTTCACACTTCATTAAATGTTAAACTACAAATTATGCCATTTCTTTTCAATACAGGTTGCATTTAAACTGAAAAATCACTTGCCTGTACAGCATGCATAATAACAGCAGCCAATCCAACCCAGCTGTGTAGACTGTACATGTTAGGGATCTTCTTGGCGTTATGAAAATCAAAGACTGCCACGAGGGAAATGACCATAAGAACAAAGACTATAAAATTCAGGCCAGCATGAATGTACTTCATCAGAGGCTTACTGATATTCCACGTCCACGGCAACCTGTAAATGATGAGACCTGAAAGAAATGAAATAGTTTGATTTTTAGTCTGTAAGTTCAGTATAACATTAAATTTCATTGTCACAGACCATGCAGAATCCATAATTTCTTAGTCATGTCTGTATTCAGCTTGCAGGAATTTAGGATTGCAGCCCTTGAAGATATTATCAGGATAGGTTCCAAAAGGTTTAGATCCATTAACGACAGATACATCTTTACAGTAGACAAATACAATTGTTTGAAATGTAATTGGCTGGAGAATAACACCATAAATGTACGAAATCGCCAAATTTCTGAATTTCTGTAAACAGACTACTATCCAATCAGAAAGGGATTTTATTCGGTCATAAATTCAAAGTTCAATTCTGATATAGAAGATGGTTACCATTCATGCAGAGTTAAAAATGCAACAAAAACAGAAGTTGCTGAAAAAACCCAGCTTTTGAGGAAGGATCACCGGACCCAAAAGTTAACTCCGATTTCTCTTCACAAATGCTACCAGCCCCGCTGAGTTTTTTCAGCAACTTCTGTTTTTGTTCCTGATTTACAGCATCCGCAGTTCTTCTGGCTTTTATTGAGTTAAAAATGCACATTGCTTCAAAAGTGTTATTTTAATCCGCAAGAAGTTGATTCTATTTACATCTTTAGAAAATTACATAATTTATGTACAACACTATCATTTTGCAACACAGCCTAATGATCGATGTTCAGTAAATATTCATTTAATTTTCTGAAAAGGAAAGCCGACAGTCACAAAATAGGCAGAATTTACAAAGTTTTAAACTATGGCAGATCAATGAGAGATAACTAATCACTGATATTGCTGCCTCTTAGTGTCGTTTTTTACTCAATATTTATTCATCACTCAAATTTCTAAGGATCATACTTTATATGCCAACAGGTTATGGTAGTTTTAAGACATAGGAACTGAAGTACGCCATTCGGCTCATTGAATGTCGATGAGATTATGGCTGATGTACTAATCCTCAACTCCATCTTCCTGCGTTATCCCCTTAACTCTCGATTCCCATACTGATATAAAGAATGAATAGATCAAGAACTAATAGCGGTATATGACTCATTAATGCCTGCTCTGCCATTCCACGTGAATATCGTTTCATCTCATTTTCTACATTATTTGATTTCAAGAGACGAAACATCTATATATTTAGTTATCTATCTAATCCATCCATCACCCCCAGAGGAACACAAAGTTTAAAGTGACGTTTGAATTAAGTCCACTCGGCCGCTGGCCACTTTATATCATTTAGCCCCATGCAGCATCCTTCAGGTTTAACAAAAAACAGAAACTGCTGGAGAAACTCCAGACTCAAAACATTGTGCTCCCTCTGCACAGAAGCTGCCAGCGCTGCTGAGTTTCTCCAGCAACTTCTGTTTGTGTTTCAGATTTCCAGCACCCGCAGTTCTTTATTTTGTTTCGCCGTCAAAAGGCATAACCGGGGATTTGTACATACCGAATCCATTAATGAAGATAAACCCAACGGTGCTGAGGACTGGATGCCAGTTAAATTCCAGAAATCCTTGGTCCCACGCCAATCCTCCTCTCCAGTAGAACACCCAAATCAAAACGAACACAACCGAGAGGGTGCCCAGGAAAGCTGCGGCCATTAGAAAGCCAACAAACTGTCGAAAATTTTCCATTTCCCAAAGTTTGCCTCTTGCCAAAGCGGCGCAGCTCTAAGGGAGATGGCTGCTGGAATTGAGTGAGTCCGGTTGCAAGCAATGCAGAGAGAGACTCCGGTTGTTGCTGTTGGAGTGAGTAGGTCCGGCTGTGGTTATGCAAACGAGAGACACCGGTTATTGCTGCTGGAGTGACCAGGTCCGGCTGTGGTTATGCAAACGAGAGACTCCGGTTATTGCTGCTAGAGTGACCAGGACCAACTGTGGTTATGCAAACGAGAGACTCCAAGGGGAATCAAGGGAGGGGCGTGGCACTCTTTCGGATAGCAGTCAAATCAAACAAAATTGTTTGCCTGAATTGCAAACAGCTACGCTACATTCAGACACTTTTTTTGTTGTTGTTATAGTTTTCAGTCAGGAAATGACCTTGTTATATAACTGAGCTGTCACTTTTAACAAAGAATTTTTACTCAGTTTTGTGCCGGAGTGCGCATGCTCGAGTTGTAGCAGAAACTCCGCTGGACTATTTTACTTGGTGACCCGGAGAGACCGGGGCTCCATAAAGACCAAGACGCTGTTGTTTGAGGAATCCTCCGACTTGAGCACCCTGCTATTGTGGTTACTGCCACTGATAAACTATATGGCTTCATTTTGCAGCGTTTTAAACACTAATAACTGAGAAAGTATATGTGAGCTGTGCTTATTTTACTACCCATGTTGAGATTTAAACTTGGCTTCAAACTGTTCCAATGGAGCACTTTATGTTGCATAATTTTCCGGAGGTCGGAAAGCCGTGAAGTAGAGCCCAATGTGAGTCAACAGTTTAAAGGCAGGAAAAGGTGGGATGGAATGAGAGAAAAAGTAAACATCATTCCTGTCTCGGGCAAAGAAAGCTGCCACCATTATAAGTAAATGATGGCACGGAAGGTGCTCATTGTGCAATGTAATGCATTTGGTTCTTAAAACTGTAAGCTATTATTTTTGAATTTGTTTTGGGACTTCAAATGCCATGGAGCAATTAAAATCAGAAATATATGTTTCCATCTTTTCAAATTTTCAAAATAAAGTTATTTTTCATTTGATTTAATCCTTCCGGTATATTTAGTCAACCAGTTTCCCATTATTGCATTTAGCTATTTTCTTAAAGGTATTTTGAATACTTTTACTCTTTAAATACTTTTATCCTTTGTAGTTTCTAGGCACATAAAATTACCCTTCATAAGACAATGTGAATGTGAAAATAATGTACAAGGTTGGCTTTGGCATTTTAAATATATCTTTACTTGTCCTGCTGAGATTTTGTATTTTTGAAGTTGTAATGCTCAAAATAAAAAAAAAAATCCATTCAACCCTAACTGCTCTTCCCTAAAAACCTATAAATTCTCAACATGTCTCTTGATTCCAGAATCAGGCACCTATAACTTTACCCTGACTACTATGTTTATCTAAAATACAATGTGTTTAAGTTACATTTCTCCAAGTTCAATTTGATCCTTCAGCAATCACCTGCTCCATAGTTCCAGCCTCCCAAGTTATCGTAAAGGTGTTGCATACTGAATGACCAATTTATCAATTCACTGCTGTGAGGATCCTTGCCTCCCTTTTTAATTCCAATGGATAAATACTAACTTCTTCCTCACGAACTCATTGATCATGCACATATCACTGGAAATGCACATTCCAGCAAAGGGGTTTCAGGCCCTTTGCACAGATCATCCCAAACACAAATTATCCCAGATCTCCCATATTGCACTAGCACCGTAGCCTTCACTATTTTTTTCCTCCTCTTAGTAAACTTTTTTCTGCAAAGTTTAATACATTCAAACAATGTGATTATTTAAACCCTTAAATGTAATCAGAATGTACAGCTATCGTTTTTTGCAGCATAATCTTAAGCAAAAATTAAAAATGTATATTTAAAATCTAGTCTTTGCTCACAATGTATGAAATGACAATTTAAATTAACAAATGAGGTGGAGTAAGTCCCAAATTGGCTTTTATCGAACATACATGTATCAAAAATTAGTGTACTTATTTATGACAATTTTACATTTATAAAGTTCCAATGTTAAACATCTCCACCAACACCAATTATTTGCCTTCAAGTTTCTTCATCTCTTTCACCAGCTTTAGAATAATCTAAATTCTATTCCTTAAGTTCACCTTAAGTTATGAACAAAAAACCTCATTTACATTTATTTCTGTTTAAAATTACATTATATAAGGAACTGCTGATAACATATTAGCAAAGAGATAGATAAAGTTACAAAGTAGAATGTATGGCAACAATAATGATCTGGGTTATACAGTCAGTGGCAAAATGGCAGCACTCGACAAAGGATCACAAACTAACATTGACACTTTAATGCAATGATGGGAGCAAGAATTTCACCCAAACAGCAGAATTGTTTTGAGACAAGCCCAGTGCAGCTCAAAGTGTCTAGTTAAGCTCCCTGATTTGACAAAAAGACACATTTATATTTTGCAACAGTGACTGGGACATTTTAGAACAAGTTCATACGCAAAATTCACATTTGAATTGAACAGTTTTGTTCCCCAAAGATTGCCAACATTGTCAGCTGCTTGTTGCAACAGTGTATTAAGTTAGATTAAAGCAACATCTTGGAGTGAAATTAGTTTTAAGCTATGAAATACAAGGCAAAAGTATCTTCTCCTCTGAAATATGCATTATCAATGTTGCACTGGAATGCACATTCTTCAATTCATTAACAAAGACATCACAAATTCTCAGCTGAATATACAGAAAGTGTTTTAAGACTGTTTGCACTACTGGTATTATTGCATTTTCTTTAAAAATATGTAATTTTGAAATTCTTTTGGCCTAAATGAAAATGAGTCCTTTGAGAGATTCACAAGATTATTTCATAACTAATAATGTAGGCACATGGTTCCACATGATTGATATTGGGGCTGCAAGTTTATGAGTTATACCATCTGATGCAAAGGGACCAACTTGAAGATACAGCAGATTTTGTCTTTGAGTAGGTATTGTTATGTATGATGCATCCGTCAGCATGGCTAGCTTTTTCATTTACCTTTTACTTGACTCGCAACAAGAGTGCAACTTAGCTTCCCATGCATTGCTGATTTGCTAACGTACAGAGGATCCTTAAAGATGAATAGCTTCCATCACTCGGTACATTTTGTCTCTGCCTTTTCATTCAACGAGGAAAATCTGTATCCTCTGGGATCATTGAAGATTGCCAATCTCATCTCAACCTGCTGATAGGCTGTTGCTTCAGGTGTATAATTATAGAAAAATGCCTAATATCATAATTAAGTCTTGCATATTCGCTTTTCAACAGAGATTGTGGTACAATATGCTAACCTAACAATTTGTTTGGATAGATAAATGACAATGACAATGACAATAGGACAAGAAACCTGGATGATGCTGACTCATCATACCACCTTTATCACCTTTTGTTTTTTGAGCTCAAATTGTTTTCAAACTTATATATTACAAACTGAAAATCACCACCTTTAGAAATATGTACTGTTTTCTGTATTTTAACTATTTTGCAAAACTGAACAAATCTGCAAAATGAATTTCACCAGTGTAAGAGTAAGGATAGAATTCAATAATAAACTTGTAAAAAAGAGAAATTTTACAGGAATTCAATATATTGTCCATGTGTTAAAGACTGTCTCTAACTTCTGTTTTAAAATATAAATGAATTCAACTAAAACCTCAGTCTGTCACAACCCATTTGCCAAAGTGTGCTGAAACTTGAGTGCCACTATTACCAGAGTCATAACAAAAGTTAAGGATTTCATCAAATTACTCAAAGCCCCCAATTTGCTCGTCTGATGGGTGCAGATTAACCAAAAAACTTATGAGCTTTTGTATTCAGCATGACCGACTATTTATTAAAAATAAATCATTTCTAATCATGTCAAATTATAATATGAATTCTCAACATATGAATTTACCAGCTGAAACTTTTATCCCTTCCAAACCCACGAAACATACAGGCAGCAGACACAGCCGATCAAAAACACATGGATGTTGTGAATGGAGGATAATGTATTGGGGAAATACAATTGAATTGCACAAATCCGCAGGATTCAATCCATTTTGCTTCTTCCAAGTAGTTCTGACTTCCAATCTTCATATCCAAGACAACAAGGTGCAGGGCTGGATGAACACAGCAGGCCAAGCAGCATCATAGGAGCAGAAAGGCT